GATCCCTCCCCCCCCCCCGCAGGCCAGAGCTAAGAGGATTAAAAACACCCCCACTTCCAATACTCAAAGATTTATCTCCCGGCCCCCATCGGCTCTTGATTCTGCTCCAGGTTGAGCTCCCGGCTGGTGGGTTTTCCTGCCCTGGACAGGACGTAATGGACTAGGAATAGCTTTGCCTTCATATTTTAGCTCTGGGGCATAAGCCTTCCGTGCCGCAAGCATGCTGGAAATGTTGGCTCGCCAACTATATTTCTGCGGGAGATTGGAAGCTGGTTATCTCCAGTATCAGTTGGGTGGGGGGGGAGGGTCTTTGGGCTGCATTGGACCCTTTCTGCCTCCATCCTCCCTCCCAGTTGCTTTAAAAAGCTCTTGATCCTCACAAGTAGAGAATAATGGAATAAGAGACTGGGAAGGGACCTTGGAGGTCTAATAGTCCAACCCCCTGATTAAGCAGAGACCCTATACCAGGGATAGGCAACCTTGGCTCTTTTATGGCTCATGGAATTCTGGGAGTTGGAGTCCCCGAGTCATAAAAGAGCCAAGGTTGTCTACCCCTGCCCTAGACCATTTCGGACGAAAGGGTTGTCCAGTCTTCTTAAAAATGTTCAGTGATGAAGCACCCACAGCTTCTGGTGGCAATCCGTTCCACTGGTTAATTGTTCTGTTAAGAAGTTTCTCTTAATTCCAGGTGGCTTCTCTCCTTGAGGAGTTTCCATCCGTTGCTTCTGGTCCTGCCTTCAGGGGCTTTGGAGAATAAGTTGAGCCCCTCTTCAAATATTGGAAGACTGCTACCCTGTCGCCCCCTAGTCCTTCATTAAACTAGACATACCCAATTCCTTCCCCCCCCCCTCTTTTGAGCGCATCTGTGGCTTTGTTTGGCCCAAGGGCAGACCGACCTACTGCCCTGGAGCTACTGGTTTGTTGGCTTCCCGTCTTCTTGGACTGATGGATTTTTTGACAGCATGCATGCAGGTAGTCCTCAACAACAATTCATTCAGCGATCAAGTTAACAAGGGCACTGAAAAAAGGGTTTATTTATGATCCATTTTTCTCGCTTGGGACCCTTGCAGCAATCACGGTTTTTCCCTGGTTTACTTCATGCAGCTGAGGCTTTCGGCTGGAAAATTGATGGAGAGGAGGAAGGGAGGGAGGAAGGAAGGAAGGAAGGAAGAGGGAGGGGGGAGAAAAGGAAAGAAAGAAAGAAGAGAGATGGAGGAAGCAAACAAGCAACCATCCCTTCCCCAGGTCTATGGAACATCTGTCTCCAAGTAGTGATGCCCTCTCTTCTCCACTCCTGCCCATCACTCGCTTTTCATCTGACTGACGGAGGGGGGGGGGCGTCAAGGGGAGCATTATCCCAGCCACCTTGTGTCACCCCCCTTTCACAACCAGGCCGTTCTCTTTCTCTGCTGCTCTTCCCCCTCCCACCCGCCACCTCAAATCAGTTGCTGGCTCAGCTCTCACAGGAACGATGCATAATTCACACCGGATAACACTCTGGTTGTCATGTGCCAAAGCGCCTCTAATCGGTGTGTGTGTGTGTGTGTGTGCACGCGCAAAAATAGCAGCAAGCCCCTTTCCAGAGTCCCAAAGGTGTTGTTGCTGCCCTAGGTTCTAAACCCAGGCTGGGGCCTCTGGGATGAATTCCACAGAGGTGGAAGAGAAGAAGGATCAAAATTGGAGACGCAACGGTACACAACACAGATGGAACCCAGAACTTCGTGTGGGGAGCCTTCCACAGGTAGGGTCCTTTGTGTTCTCTTGAGCTTAGTGGTTTTGGCCACTTTGACCCTGAGGATGTTGGCTAGCTTGGTAAAGAAACGTCTGCAAGAAAACGACCAAGTTCAGAGAGCACCAAGGACAGCTCCTTCACAACACCCCCCCCCCCTTTCTGGCACTGATGACGTTACTTAGTTGGGTCACGAAACGTCTGCCGGAAAACCGCCAAGTCGCTTTTTTCAGTGCTGTCGTAACGTTGAACGGTCTCTAGATGGACTGTCGTTAAGTCGAGGACTACCTGTGTTGCAAGCCTGGCCACCCAAAGACGCTGTCCTGCTCAAAGTCGGATGCCAACTTTGCCCCAGGTTCGGCTCTTGTGCTTCAGCCACCTTTTAACAGGCAGCAACTTAACCAGCTGCGGAAGCGCCTGGCCCAGCAGAGGAGACTTCCCCAAGGCTGGAAGTCCTGTCAGAAGATTATTGATGATTTATGAGTCCAGAAACTGGGCTGGTTGGCGTTCCCCCCCCCCAAAAAGAACCGCAGTCTTCTGCATTTTGCATCGTTGGCCTTCTTGCAGCCCCAAAGCCCGCCTTTTCCTCCGCCTCTGAGGGAACGGTGCCACGTTGGCAAACTCTGCAAGAACTGCAATAAAAACCTCTGTCCATAAATAAGATCGCCCTCCTTTTTCAGTGCAAAATGATCCAGCTTGGAGAGAGAGGTGGTTGGGGAGATGCTGTTAGTCCACCCCACACCCCACTCTCCCCCGCAAGGTCCCTGCTTGGTCCTAAAAGTCCAGCACTGGACCTTTGCACTGATGATGTTGCCTACTTGGTTGAGGAAATATCTTTTCCTCTTCTTCCTCCTCTCTGCAAACCCCACTCCCTTCCAGCACTGATAACGCTACCTAGCTGGGTCATAAAACCTCTGCTAGAAATGCACCAAGCTCTGAGAGCACCAAGGACCCCAAAGTCATCGTCGTCCTCCTCCTCTTCCACAATCCCCACTCCAAGCAACGATGCTGGTACCTAGTTGGGTCACGAAACGTCTGCAAGAAAACCACCCAGCTCAGAGAGCACCAAGGACCCCACAGTTCTCCTCCTCCTCCCTTGTGGCACTGACGTTGTTCCCTAGTTGGGTCACGAAACGTCTGCAAGAAAAGCACCCAGCTCAGAGAGCAGCCAGGTCCCTGCCGGTGAGCCTCCAATACTCACTTCTATTGATATAAAAGTCTGCCCTACATGTTCCTCTTTACAAGTGACTCTGAAGGGCTCCTGTTTTGGGGGCTGGAGGGGGGCACCCAGTAGCCCCCGCAGGAAGAGAACGCAAGCACAGTGTGTGCACAGGCAAACACACACACACACACACACACCAGCACACTGTCAGCCTGCTGCCCCTTCTAAGCTTACTGCGCTGAGCTTCTGATCCTTTGCTTTTTGGTTAGGACAGCAAAGCGGCTTAAGAGGTGAAGCATTAAATGCAAGGATGCGGGTGGAAGAGCGACTGGGGGGGGGTGTGGGGGGGAAGGAGGGGGGGTCAGAGCACTCAGTAAATCTGGGCCTTGCCCTCTGCAAGGGGGGAATCGTTCTCCCTTTGCAAGGTCAGGCATGTTAAGCCCAGCACTGCCGGTTCTACAAAGCAGATGGAGGGGCTTGGCTAAATCCCTCTTTTCCTCCCACCCCTCCGAGGACTGAAGAAGGGTTGGAAGCCTCTCTTGAGCATGTGCAGAGAGCACAAAAAGGCTGGGGGGGGGGAAATACCCCTCCCTGCACGCAGCCTGGCTGGAATTGCAAAAGCGAGCCAGCCACGAGGAATTTGGGACGTTTCTGTCAGGAAGGAAAATCCGAATCCCGAAGAAGGGAGCATGGCGGGAAACGTCTCTGAGCATACGCAGAGTGCACAAAAAAAGCCTGGGGAAATACCCCTTTCCTCGGCAGCCTGGCTAAGATGGGGGAAAAAAAAATGAGTCCCAAAAGGAGGAATCTGGATCTTTCAACAATGAAGGAAAATCCGAGAAGAACGGCAGGAAGCATCCCTGAGCATGTGCAGAAAGCAGAAAAGGGCTGAGGAAATACCCCTCCCTACACCACAGCACGGCTGAAATTGGAAAAATGAGCTGTAAAGGAGGAATTTGTATGTTTCACAAAGGAAAATGCCCCGATTGGGAGGCTTGGGTTTAAGATTTGTAGTGCTGGGCTGCATTAACAGAGGGACAGAATAAAGACCGCGTGAAGTATTAATACTACTTTACAAGGCCTTGGTAAGGCCACACTTGGAATCCTGCATCCAGTTTTGGTCACCATGATGTAAAAAAGATGCTGAGACTCTAGAAAGAGGGCAGAGAAGAGCAACAAAGATAATTAGGGGACTGGAGGCTAAAGCATATAAGGAACGGTTGCTGGAATTGGGTATGTCTAGTTTAACGAAGAGAAGGACTAAGGGGGGACAGGATAGCAGTCTTCCAGTATCTCAGGGGCTCCCCCAAAGAAGAGGGAGTCAAGCTATTCTCCAAAGCCCCTGAAGGCAGGACAAGAAGCAACGGATGGAAACTAATCAAGGAGAGAAGCAACCTAGAACTAAGGAGAAACTTCCTGGCAGTGAGAACAATTCATCAGTGGAACAGCCTGCCACCAGAAGCAGTAAATGCTCCAACACTGGAAGTTTTTAAGAAGAGACTGGACAGCCATTTGTCTGAAATGGTGTAGGGTTTCCTGCCTAAGCAGGGGGTTGGACTAGATGACCTCCAAAGTCCCTTCCAACATCATCATCATCATCATTATTATTATTTTCTCTCTTAGATCTTTTACAGCAATCTAGCCTGGCCTTCAGAAACAGATACCACCACCACCACCACCTCCTTCTCCTCCTCCTCCTCCTCAAATCCCACTCTCTTCTAATGTTGATGATGTTATCTAGTTGGGTCATGAAACATCTGCAAGAAAACTACCAAGCTCAGATAGCACCGAGGACCCCACAGTCCTCCTCCTCTCCACAAACCTCACTAGCTCCTAACATGGATGGTGTTACCTAGCTGGGTCATGAAACGTCTGCCACAAAACCAGTAAGCTCACAGTTCCACTCTTGAGTTGCCAATATTCCTTTCTACCAGAAGTAAAGATTTCCGCGGACATGAGGCTGATCCTGATCCTGATCCCTCCACAGACTTATTGTCGCTGGTCAGTCGTGTGAGCCCTCCATTTCATTTCATTTCCTCCGTTTTGAAAATCTACCTAGCCTTTCCCTCCCGGCACTCCGATCCCGACTCAAATCATCAACAACAAAAAAAGAAGAAAACATTCCTTTTTATTGCATTCTTTACTGGGTTTGATTTTTTCTTTTTTTCCTCTCTTTTTTTTAATATAAAAAAAAATGACATTTCCTTGTTTATTACACTGCATAATATTTACACCGCTGCAGCCTGAGAGAAAAAACACTCTCCGGGCTGGAGACCAGGGACGGGGAGGGAGGCGCAGAAATATCTTTTTCTGTCTCCCTTTTTTCGTTCTCTTGCAACAATAAAAAAATATACCAATAAATAAACTACCTCAAACAAGCAAGCAGGTCCATTTCTCTGCCTTCCCGTTCAAGAGCCACCTTCTGATGCCTCGCCCCACCCCGGTCCATACGAAGAAGTCCTAGGCACACGTTTGCATGCATCTGACGGACGGCTTGCACCATGATCTTGTATGTGTGTGTGTTTGTGTGGAGAGGAGATTCATCGGCGGAAGCCAGCCGGAGAGGGAAAAAGGGATGGACCCCCTTCCTCAGCCGATCTCCCACCGGCCCTTAAAGCGATTTGGAGGCCCCCTTCTCCTCCCCCTGCGATGGAGGAAGGGGCCAAAAAGCACCCACTGAATATTGCATCGTTAACCTGGGAGGTACACTGGTCAGGTGTGGGGTTTTTTTGCATTGGTGGTGTCCCCTCGGCCGAGGGCCTGCACGGCGCAGCGCCCGGCGTGCTCAGACGTAAGCGGACTCGCTGGATTGAGTCCGCCCCAGAGTAGGCACTTGGGCCAAGGAAGACAAGTCCTTCTTCCGCACCTCGCAGATGGATTTGCGCCTGGCCTGCACCCCCCGGATGGCCGTCTTGATCTTGCGCCAGCCCAGGTGGTTGAGCTCGGCCAGGTTGAGAAGGACGCAGATGCCGCTGACGGCGAACATGAACACCAGGAAGACGGTCTTCTCGGTGGGCCGAGACACGTAGCACTCCACCTCCTTCACGCAAGGGTAGCGGTCGCATTCGAAAATGGCCGGCACGTTGAAGCCGTACAGGAAGTATTGCCCAGCCAGGAAACCGATCTCCAAGGCATTGCGGAAAACCACCTGGAATGGGGAGGGACGTTCGGGGATTACCGTACGTTGCCACTGCTTTTTATGAGATTTTTTTTCTAATTTTCTATCCTGCCTTTGTTACTTTATAAGTCAGTCAACACTACAAGCGTACCTAATGTTCCGCCCTCCTCCTATTTTTCCCACAACAGCCTTGTAATGTGGGCTGGGCTGAGAGGGAGGGAGGGACTTACTCAAAGTCACCCAGCCAGTTCTCATGCCTAGGACAGAACTAGAACTCCCAGTCTCCTGGTGATTGGCCAAAAATCGCCCAGGCGGCTTTCATGCCTGTGGTAGGACTAGAACTCACCGTCTCCTGGCGATTGGCCTAAAGTCACCCAGCCAGCTTTCATGCCTAAGGCAGGACTAGAACTCACCACCTCCTAGATCAGCACCTTAACCTCTACACCAGACTAGCTCTCTCCTCTTCTGCAGCTGTACAGACCTGAACAGAATTAAGTGGATCCTGTCTTATCCTTCTTTTCTCCCTCTCTCCTCTCCTCCCCTTCCCCTTCCTTCCTCCTCCCCTCCCCTCCCCTTTGGACTAGGAAGAATCCCTTCTGAGATGCTTCCCAGACCCCTTCCCTTCTCTGGGCTGAGTTGTCTCTTCTCTGTCTGGCCTGCAGCTCTTCCTCCTCCTGCCTCCAAGGACCTTCGCACAGACCACTACAAGAGTATCCGCTTTCCTTGGCCGTGGTCCCCCCACCGCTTAGACCCCACTGCTGAACCTCCAGCTCCTGCTCCTTTGCTCGCGCCAGCCCTTCCGGGGGGAGGCCCGGAGCCTGCTCAGCCAGAAGGTCCTCTGCTTAACAGGGCGCCCCCCTCCCCTGCCCCAACCCACCTGGATGATGTAGAAGCGTGAGATGCCTTCCTGCCGCTTGACCTTGGCGCTCTTGGGGGGCCTGAGCGGGGTGCTGGGGATCTCCTTCACCTCTAGGCAGTCGGGCTCCTTGGAGGAGCCGTCCGGGTTGGGCACCAGGATGCCGTTGACGTTCCTCACCTTCTTGCCCTCGCAGAGCGCCTCCTTCTCCAGCAGCGGGTAGAGGAAGGAGTAGCGCCGGTCGCGCTGCTTGGCCGACTGGTGGACGGAGTAGGTGATGAAGCAGAGGCTGGGCGTGCAAACCAGGATGATCTGGAAGACCCAGTAGCGGATGTGGGAGATGGGGAAGGCCTTGTCGTAGCAGGCCTGGTTGCAGCCGGGTTGCAGCGTGTTACACATGAACATGGTCTGCTCGTCCTCGTACACCGTCTCGCCCACGATGGCCACAATCAGGATGCGGAAAATCACCACCACCGTCAGCAGGATCCTGGGCGGGGAGAGCAGCGGGTGAGGAGCAGCCCCCTCCCCGAAGGGCGGGAGGGGGACCCTGCCCCTGGGATGCCTGAGCAGGGTGGGCTAGGAAGGATGGGAGCTGTAGTCCGTCCCAGTTGGAGGGTTCCCTCCATTGTCTTAGGGTCTTGGCAAAACACGCAGGCTAGGTTTCAGGCTGGTGTCAAAACGAGGGGTGGAAAAGTGGTTATTGCTGCATTTATTTACTGACTTATATCGTCTTTTATTATTTTTATAAATAACTCAAAGCGGCGAACACCCATCATGCTCCTTCGTCCTCCTATTTTTCACTCAACAACAACCCTGTGAGGTAGGTTAGGCCTTGGGCAATGAGTCTCTTTTCCTCTAATCCTTCAAGGAATAAATTAGAGGGAGCTGGCCAAGGAGCATAGCTATAAAGCAGTGGTTCTCAACCTTTTTAATGCCGCGACCCCCAACTGGTCGTAAGTCGAGGACTACTCAACTGGTCGTAAGTCGAGGACTACTTAACTGGTGCAGCACCGTTGGCAGAATGGGACTTTTGGCGGGCTCAGCAGGGCAGAGACAGCCTGGACAATTCCTATTGGCTTTTGAAAGCCAATCGAATTAGACTCTATTCAAGAGAGTCTATTCTATTGGCTTTCAAAAGCCAATAGAATAAAAGGGAGTAGCACAGCTAAGGAAAAGGGGAAAAGAAAATGGTGGACTGCGTTGTTTGGCGACCCCCGTGAAATGGTCGTTCGACCCCAAACGGGGTCCCAACCCACAGGTTGAGAACCACTGCTATAAAGTGAATTTGAGTCAATGAAAACAGCGGCCCCTGTTGAGGGAGCATCTTGGGACACAGGATTCTGCCTTTGTCTTTCTTCCTTCCTTTTTTTCTGCTTTCTATTTCAAGCTTTCGGAAAATATTGTGTGGGCTGGTGCTGAGACGTTGTGTAAGTGTGTCTCCGGTGTGTGTGTGTGTGTGTGAGGGTCGGCGTGCCCCTGCTAGGTCTTGTAAGGTAACAGGATGGGTTTGGATGAAAGCATCTCTGGGTCTAAATTGGGGAGGGCAGAGAGAAAGTTGCAGCTGAGGTTAAATCTGCATCCTTTGAGATTGCTTCTGATTTGCTTAATTACGGAGAAAATGGGAAGGGATAGGAATAGAAAGGAAATTATCCCGGACAAAGACGGGTGATGAGAATATTGTTTCTGTAATGATTAGAACATGGGACTAACTAGGAACCTTTGTTCTGCATTTAATGTAGGCTGGCACTGTGTCCCCTTCCTTCACAACCCACAACAGAGCCTGGATGAAGCCTCCTCCTTCTCTATGGAACTGCCTGCCACTTGGATCGAGGAAGGAGAAAAAGCAAGTCCTCAACATTTTAAATATTTTTTTAATCTAATTTAATTAATATTTTAACACTTAATACCCCCTTTTGGAAACCCTTCAATCCTCCACATTGTAATTCACCACTCAGAATCAAAGGACTTCAAAAAGAGACACAACTAGAAGGCACTGCAAATACGGTCACGTGAATTTAGGGATTAAAAATTTTCTTTTGCAATACAGGGTCTTCAATCAATCCAGCAAAAAAAAAAATCTCTCTCTACACACACAAACACGCACACAAATTGTCTGCCTGCCTGTCTGTCTATCCATCCATCCATCCATCTATCCATCCATCCCTCTACACACAAACACACACACAAATTATCTATCTATCTATCTATTTATCTATCTATCATCTGTCTGTCTGTCCACCCGTCCATTCATCCATCCATCCCTCTACGCACAAACACACACACAAATTATCTATCTATCTATCTATCTATCTATCTATCTATCTATCTATCTATCTATCTATCTATCTATCTATCTAATTAATTTCTTTCTCTCTCCATCCCTCCCTCCCTCCCTCCATCCCTGTACACACACACAAATTATCCATCCATCCATCCATCCATCCATCCATCCCTCTATGCACAAACACACACACAAATTATCTGTCTATCTATCTATCTATCTATCTATCTATCTATCTATCTATCTATCTATCTAATTAATTTCTCTTTCTCTCTCCCTCCCTCCCTCCCTCCCTCCATCCATCCATCTCACAGGGTATATATTTTCAGTCTTCCCCAAGCTGGAAACCTGCAGGTTGCAAAGACTGGGGAAAAAAAAGAGCCCTGTCTTTTAAAAATATATATCCCATGTTTTTCTGCACTTCTGGAAACTGACATAAAAGTTGTGAAGTAAGGATAAAACTTAAGGCATCTCCTTCGGGGAAATCAGGGTTGAGAACACACTGGCTTGCTCTATGGTTTAGGAAGGGGACAAGAGAGGAGAGACTGGCAGCTCCGGGGGTAACTCTGGCCAAATGCAGCAGCAGCATCAGCATCATCTGGGCAGCATCTCAAAAAGATGCGGGAATGAATGGACCACTTCTCTGGAGAAGCAGAGCAGTCAGTCCTAGCCTCTTTTTGACTTTCCTTTCAGCCCAGCTTTGGTCTGACAGATCTCAGCTGTCTCTCCCACCTTCTGTCCCCAGCCCCCCTGGATCTCCGCAGGCTTCCGATCCCCCTCTTCGCCCCCCACCCCTGACAATCTGCCTTTCCCCACAACCTCCCCCACCCACCCCCCACCCCCCAAGTCTGGGTGCAGCTGTCCGAATCCTAAAGGGGGACTGGAGGGATTTCAGAGGAAAGGAGAGAGGCTTAAAGAGCTGGATACACGGTCTCAGTTCTGCGGGAGGACTACAGCCCCCCCCCGTGGTCCCGTACTGGCTGGGAGTCATGGGAGTTGTAGTCTAACACTGCAGAACCTCGCATCACGCTGCTTGGAGCAAGGTTGAAAACTTCCGCGGTCCCAGACTGGGCTCCCACCCGCTGCGACAGCCGAGTTGGGGGGGGGGGCTGCGGATCAGCCCCTCTTCTGCCCCTTACCCAAGCCAGCCCCCGCGGTCGTCGGAGGGGGGACCGAGCGCTTCTCTCCCACCCTCACCAGCCCCTAGTCCCCCCTCCCGCTCAGGCATCTCGGGCGAGGCGGGCCCAAGGCGCTAGTCCTCTTGGGGTGGCCCAAGGCGCTAGTCCTCTTGGGGGGGCCCAAGGCGCTAGTCCTCTTGGGGGGGGCAAGGCGCTAGTCCTCTTGGGGGGGGGCCACCCACCTCCCGATCATGGTGGAGTGCTGTTGCACCGCAGCCTCCAGCAGCCGTTCCAAAATGGTCCACTCTCCCATCTCTCCAGGCTGGACGGTCCGCCCGCATCCGAGGGCTCCTCCGACAAGGGACGCTGGGGGCCGCCGAGGCCGCTCGCCGCCGCCGCTTAGAGCCGCCGCCGCCGCCTCCGCCGCCGCCACCACCCGGGGCCCCGGCTCGCCATCATCGCCGCCGCGGGAAGAGGGGGGGGGTGGCCGCGGGCGCCCGCTCGCCTCGCCTGGCCTCGCCGCCCTGCCGCCCTCGCGGCCCGGCGCCGCTCAAGGGCACCGCGGGCGCGGATCAAGCAGCCCTCCCCTCCCTTCCCCTCCTTCCCCCCCCGCTGCCGCTGCGGCGACCGCGGAGGGAGAGAGGGAGGCAGGAGGTTCGCGGACACGCGTGGTCCGCCGGGGCGTTGCTGGCTCTCTCCGCACCTGCCGACGCTGGAGGAGGAGGAGGCGGTCCGTGTGCGCGCAAGGCTGCTAGTTGGGGCGGGGGGGCACCCCCAGTGAGAGAGACCCCCCCGTTGCAATCCCGCTCTTCCACCAGAAACGCGCCGCGGAGCGAGAGGTCGGGGCAGGCGCCCGCGGGCGCAGCCTTGCAAAAGCCCGCGATGGCCTTTCGCCTCGTTCAGGGGTAGGCCACCTTGGCTCTTTGATGACTCGTGGACTTCCATTCCCAGAATTCCTGAGCCAGCTATGCTGGCTCAGGAATTCTGGGAATGGAAGTCCACGAGTCATCAAAGAGCCAAGGTGGCCTACCCCTGCCCTAGTTTCAGCTGACCCGGGAGCCCTGCAAGGCTTTCCTCGCGGGACGACTCTGCGTCCCGCTCCGGGCGGGGAGGGCCAAGCGGCGAGCATCACATACACGCACAGGCACGCGCCCGCGCGCGTGCACAATCCCCCCCCCCGCCGTCCCGGGGAGCGGGTTCCCGTGTGAACGCGAGGAAGGTGGAGCGACGAGCTCGGTTCCCACGACCTGCCAAGCGCGAGCGGGGTGGGGAGTGGGCTTAGCGGACGGTGCGGTGGGCTGGGTGAAGCGGGCAAGCGAGTCCTTGAGCGAGCGGGGTTGAAGGGGGTCGTGGCAATCCGGTGTCCGTCGTAGAAGCCTGGGAAGGAAACGGCGACAGAGACACGGGACGGTTGCAAGTTCCCACGACGCTGCGGAATTCTGCGACAAGTTACAAAGTTGTCCGAAGTGAGAGCCGCTGGGCTCCTTCGTGCCTAAGGTTGAGCCTGTTGCCGCCTTCTTTGCCTTCTTTCCTCTAGAAGAGCTTCACCTGTTGAATGTCTGCCTAACTGGCTGGGAACTGAAAGCCACAAGGGGCAGCCGTGTTGAAATCAAGTTAGACTACTTAGCAACTTTTTTTTATTATTATTTATTAAAAGTTTTACAATTTTACAATAAAATCCCTCTCCCACGACCTCCCTACCCACCCAAAAATCCCTCCCCCCCCTCTTCCCAGAGCTGAATACAGGGTTAACTAGAACTAAGAATACAAAACATTTAAACTTAAGTAAACCTCAAACAAAAGTTACATTAAAAAAAAAATCCAATATATATATATATATATAATAAAAAAGTCCAATATATATGTACAATAAAAATACTTATTATCTTAAACTTTAAACTTTAAACAAAAATTATTCAAAAGTTAAATAATATCTTTTAATACAGTGGTTCTCAACCTTTCTAATGCCGCGACCCCATAATACAGTTCCCCATGTTGTGGTGACCCCCAATCACTTATACATCATCAGGTGCCAGGGGCGTGGCCAAAGAAAAGGGGAAAAAATGGCGGACAGCCTTGTTTGGCGACCCCCGTGAAATGGTCGTTCGACCCCAAATGGGGTCCCAACCCACAGGTGGAGAACCACTGTTTTAATATCATACTTATACTGTATAAAATTTATCCATCTTTTCCACACCAAGAGATATTTCTCTTGCGATGGATCTTTCAAATAAGCCGAAATTTTTGCCATTTCAGATAAATAAGAAACTTTAAAAAAACCATTCCTCCAAGGCAGGCAAAAATTCCTTCTTCCAATATTGTCCTATCAACAACCTTGCCGCTGTAATGACTACCTAGCAACTTTTAAGAAGAGTGGACTTCCAACTTCTGGAAGTCTCCCCCCAGCCTGGGGAATTCTGGGAGCTGAAGTCCACACCACTTTAAGCTCTGGCTGGGGAATTCTGGGAGTTGATGTCCGCACGTTTCCCGAGATCGAGAAATCACTAACTCACGATGCGCCCAGCTAAACTCGCAGTGGGCTGAATCATGGCTTATTGATTATGTGATAGGACTGCTGGGCTTGCAGAGGGCGCCAAGCCATAAATCGTGGTTTGTGCATTGCAGCAGTTCAGAAAGACTGGTTGTTGGTTTTTGTTTTTGTTTTTTTTTGCAATTTGCAGCAATGCCGGTTGCAAAGTGACTGGCAGCTTGGTCGCTGCCCCTTGTGTGGCCTGTTTGGGATTGTGACAAATGAGTGATAAACTGGTGGCTGGCGGGCTCGGCTTGTGGGGGGGGGGGCTCAAAGAAGCTGGGCAGAGCTGAGGTCTCTTTCCTTTGAGGAGGGACCACTCCAGCCCCCCCCCCACACATCTGGGGGAGATGCTGCAGTTTTGGTGCTCCTGGGCGACCGTTGCCATAGAGACAGCGAGGAGGCGGGTTGCCAAGGCCTTCCGTGACCCCAGTTGCTGGCCTCCTTCCTTTTTCTTCTGAGGGGGGGCAGCCCTGACTTTTTGGCTGCCCCACCCCCCACCCCGGCCTCAGCCATGGCCTGAACCCTGGCCTGGATAACAGTGGGAACCGAGGCCAACTCAGGTGGCTGGAAAGAGGCTTGAGGTTATCGGAAAGGATACAGATGGATGTTCTTTTTTTAAAAAAAACTTGCCAGGATTTCTTTGCTAATCAGATAACATGGCCTCCGTAGCCCTGGGCCAGGCGAAATCTGGCACCAGCTCCAGTTTGAACTGATCCACAGCTGTTGGGAGGCAGAGCGGGAGGGACCCCAAGTGGCACCCCGGTTCCCTTTTCCAGTCAACCCCAACTGCAAAGCCTTCCAGGAAAGGAGACTTGGATTTGCAGCGTAATTGCAAAGATGCTTAGTGGTCGTGTTCACACAAACCACATAATAGTTTTCTGTTTGTTGGGTCTTCCTTCCTTCCTTCCTTCCTTCCTTCCTTCCTTCCTTCCTTCCTTCCTTCCTTCCTCCTTCCTTCCTTCCTTCCTTCCTTCCTTCCTTCCTTCTTCCTTCCTTCCTTCCTTCCTTCTCTGTGGTCACATAATTCACATAACCTCTTTTTGGTGTTGGGTCTTTCTTTCTTTCTTTCTTTCCCTCCCTCTTTCTTTCTTTCTTTCTTTCTCCCTCCCTCATTCTTCCTTCCTTCCTTCCTCCCTTCCTCCCTCCCCTTCTCTCCTTCTGTCTTTCTCTTTGTCCATCCTTTCTTCTATTCTTATTCCCCTTTCTTTCTTTCCCTCCCTCCCTCCCTCCCTCTTTCTTTCTTTCTTTCTTTCTTTCTCCCTCCCTCATCCTTCCTTCCTTCCTTCCTTCCTTCCTTCCTTCTCTGTGGTCACATAATTCACAAATGGTGTAGGGTTTCCTGCCCGAGCAGGGGGTTGGACTAGATGACCTCCAAGGTCCCTTCCAACTTTACTACTATTACTATTACATAATCTCTTTTTGGTGTTGGGTCTTTCTTTCTTTCTTTCCCTCCCTCTTTCTTTCTTTCTTTCTTTCTTTCTTTCTTTCTTTCTTTCTTTCTTTCTCCATCCCTCCCTCCCTCATTCTTCCTTCCTTCCTTTCTTCCTTTCTTTCCCCATCTTTCCCTCTCCTCTCCCCTCTCTTCCCATTCCCTCCTTTTTTCCCTCCCTCCATCCCTCCCTGCAGTTTCCGTGGAAAAAATGTTGGAAGTAGTTTCCTAGCAGTTTTTTCCTTCCACCCTGAGAGAGAGGAACTGGCCCAAAGTCACTCAGCGGCTTTTCACACCAAACAGGAGGATTTGAACTCATGATCCCCTGGCTTCTCATCTAGCCCCTTCTACACTGCAGCAGCCTAACCAAATGATTTGACTTTGCCCAGCAGGCTAAGCTACCACGGCAACAAACCCACCCAGACCCCAGTCGAAGCAAAAAACGAATCATGTAGGCCATGCGAAGGCAGCCGTTGGATTTGTAACTAACTTGATTAAGCCCATTAATTGGATTCCTGCACTACATATTTAAGTCTGAACCAGATTAAGGAAGCACACTTGCGGTGCTTCTAGAGCATGTATCGCTCTTTGAAAGGAAGCATATTATGGCTTAAAGCCGTGGCCTAATTAGGGTTACCTGGGAGTGAAGCAAAACCATGCTTTGAACGTGGTTCCCGGACCAACACAGCACAAAGTGAATTTCACACATGTTTTTCGATGTCTCTCTAGCAGGGCGTGTGATTAAGGCTGGGCTGAGCAGGTAAAGCTTTAATCCGACCATCGCAGCTGCTGTCCGCTTCGTTTTTTGCAAACATTCCCAAAGTTGGCCCTGAGCTGTGCAACGGGTCTTGGGCCAGGCTGATTTGAGCATATCAAAAGGATCCAGTCCAAAGACTTTTAGTGGGAAAATCCCCTCCCTTTGCCCTTGCCATTTCTGCTCATTGCTATTAACAAATGACTAATGTAACATATAGGTAAATTACATTACCGTAAAGCCTTAGATGTTGTGTAATTAATCTGGTCTTGATCTGCTGCTGGAACGAAAGCACAGTTGGTTGGCACAAGCTGGTGCATTTCGACAAGGGAAATGCTTTGGCAGCAGAGCTGTGGGATCCAGGGAAGAACTGGGGATAGCCGTAGCCCTTAGACCAGTGGTTCTCCACCTGTGGGTCGGGACCCCATTTGGGGTCAAACGACCATTTCACGGGGGTCGCCAAACAACGCAGTCCGCCATTTTTTTCCCCCTTTTCCTTAGCTGTGCTACTCCCTTTTATTCTCTTGGCTTTTGAAAGCCAATAGAATAGACTCTCTTGAATAGAGTCTAATTCTATTGGCTTTCAAAAGCCAATAGGAATTGTCCAGGCTGTCTCTGCCCTGCTGAGCCCGCCAAAAGTCCCATTCTGCAAACGGTGCTGCACCAGTTGAGTAGTCCTCGACTTACGACCGGTTGAGTAGTCCTCGACTTACGACCGGTTGGGGGGTCGTGGCATTAAAAAGGTTGAGAACCATTGCCTTAGACTTATATACCGCTTCACAGTGCTTGACAGCCCCCTTTAAGCGGTTTATAGAGCCAGCCTACTTGCCCCCCAGCAATCCAGGTCCTCATTTTTACCGACCTCGAACGACGGAAGGCTGAGTCAACCTTGAGCTGGTCAGGATGAAACTCCAGGCAGTGGGCAGAGTTAGCCTGCAATACTGCATTCCCATTGACTTGGCTTGTCAGGAGGTCAGAAAAAGTGATCACATGACCCCCCCAGGATATTGTGACCGTCATAAATAAGAACCAGGGAGGGAAGAAGGAAGGAAGGAAGGAAGGAAGGAAGGAAGGAAGGAAGGAAGGAAGGAAGGAAGGAAGGAAGGAAGGAAGGAAATGATGGATAGTAGATAGATGATAGATAATAGATAAATAGTAGCTAGAG